CCCAGGCTGCCCAGGGCAGGGGGGGAGTCCCCATCCCTGGAGGGGTTTCCAAGCCCTGGAGATGGTGCTGAGGGACATGGGTTAGCACCAGACTTGGTAGAGTTGGGTTCCTGATTGAACTTGATGATTTGAAAGGTCTTTTCCAACCCAAACAATTCCATGGCTGATCCCTCCCCCTGTTTCTGCCCACAGAGGCCAGCGAGCCCATCAGCCCCTACTGTGAGACCCTCTTTGGACGTGTGGCCCCGTCCCAGGAGCAGAAGGTGAGAGGGGGCTGTGGGGATGGGGCTGTCCCCTGCTGTCCTCCTGCATCCCACCAGCTGCCACGAAGGCAGGAGCTGCAGCTGGTGAGGCCGTGGTGCCTGGCAATGCCCAGCTGGGGTGGGGGTGACAGGCTGAGCCCCCCACGCAGTGGGGCAGGCAGGGTGAGGAGGTCTGGGGTTGGAGAGGGCAGAGAGGAGATGTGACCAGTGTCTCCCCCCAGGCTGTTGGCATCTCCTCTGATCAGAGCTACGAGGCAGTGTCTGAGCTGGACCTGGAGCGAGAAGTGTCCAGGTAGGTGTCACACCCTGTGGGTGGCAGGGGCTGGGATGGGGGTCTCTGCATGTCAGAGGGACAGGGGACACCCCCGGGGACAGCCTGAGAGGTGGTGGGGGCTTTATCCCCCCACCATAGAGCCCATCAGGAGTGTCTGGAATCAGCTCAGCAATCTCAAGATGGGCTCAGAGATCAGAAGGAGCCAGGAGGGCGGGTGGCTCTCGGGGGGACAGTGGTGGTCAAGAGGTGCTCTGGAAGCACAGCTGGGGCAGTGACAGTGGCACCGGGCACCTGGACACTGGGCAGAACCTGGATTTGGCTGCTGGGAGCAGGGAAGCACCCTGGAAGACAGGGATTGCTCAGAAATGGGGTGGCTCTGAGCTCCAGATGAAGGGATGTGCGACCTTCGAAGGCTCCAGCAGCACGAGATCAGCATTTGCTGTGGTGGACAGTGAGATCTGTGAGGGGCACCTTGAAAATGCTTTTGAAATGTACTTTCCATAACTCCTGATAGCATCTCAGAAAGAGGAAGGAAAGCTGCTCTTCCCATTGCAGACGGGGAGGGTTCCTTTTCCTGTGTTGCTGAGAGAAGAGGAGGTGACCAGCAGCTCCGTGTCCTTCAGCTCTACCCATGGCCTTGCTTGTATCCCTGTGGCTCAGCCTTCCTGCTCCCAGTTGTTTTGATCAGTCCAGCCCATCTCCTGCTCTGGGTCCAAGTCACAGCCCTGTGGCCTGATCCAGTGTCACAGGCAGCCAGATGTTGCCACCAGCTGGGAACCAACAGGGGCCATGGGTGGGGAGCTGCAGATACCTGGGAACAGCAGATCTGGAACTAGAAATGCTGGAATCTGCAGTTCAGAGGGGGCTGGGCCGTGGGTCACAGCCTCTGTTGAGGCTGCCAGGGAGCTGGGATCCAGAGCATCCTGAGGGCATCAGCCAGGCATTTGTCCACCAGGGACTTTGCAGTCTGGTCTTGCTCAGAAGAGGCAGGATGGGACCCCCAGCAGATTTTCAGAGGCAGGTTCTTTTCTCCCAGCCTGAGCAATGAGGTGGTTGGGGTGCAGGGCGTTAAACTAGAGACAGAAAAGTCTTGGAAGGCCTTAATAGATTCATGAAATGGTTTGGGTTGGAAGGGACCTTAAAGATCATCCAGTTCCAACCCCCTGCATGGGCAGGGACACCTCCCACCAGCCCAGGTTGCTCCAAGCCCCATCCAACCTGCCCTTCAACACCTCCAGACAAAGAAGACCTGCTTCTGTCCCACATGGTTCAGGGACATCTGATGTCCAATGGCCTCAAAGATGCCTGGTCAAAGCCCAGGACCATCCAGAAACCCCCCAATGGGTTTCTCTTCCATACATTTCTCCTACAACATCCCATGGTGAGGAGTCCCACAGGGCAACTGCTCCTTTCCCATGGGCTTCTGCACTTTGTTCCTGCTGGCTTTACCTGATGTCACCCAGCTCCTGTGACTGAATCAGAGTGTCCAGGAGGTGCCTTTCTGCCTCCCTCATGCTGTTCATGACTTCAGGAACCTGCCCCCACAACTCACTCTGTCCCCCCTGAAGGTGACCAACTTGTTCAGGTGCTCCTCAGATAGAAGCTGGACCATCCAGGGCTCGGACCATCCTCATTGCCTGTCTTGGAACCTTTTCTTCATCCTGGATGCCATGAGTGCCCCAGTGGCTGGTGCAGGGCTGTCCTGGCTGTCCTGACTCTCTCCCTGCCCATCCTCATTGCACCTGGGCAGCTCCCCTGTGAGCTCCTGGGACCATCAGACATTTTCCAGCACATTTCCTTTTCAGGGAGAGAAAAAAATGTCTGGCAAAGATCACCTAGTTCCAACCCCCTGCATGGGCAGGGACACCTCCCACCAGCCCAGGTTGCTCCAAGCCCCATCCAACCTGCCCTTCAACACCTCCAGACAAAGAAGACCTGCTTCTGTCCCACATGGTTCAGGGACATCTGATGTCCAATGGCCTCAAAGATGCCTGGTCAAAGCCCAGGACCATCCAGAAACCCCCCAATGGGTTTCTCTTCCATACATTTCTCCTACAACATCCCATGGTGAGGAGTCCCACAGGGCAACTGCTCCTTTCCCATGGGGTTCTGCACTTTGTTCCTGCTGGCTTTACCTGATGTCACCCAGCTCCTGTGACTGAATCAGAGTGTCCAGGAGGTGCCTTTCTGCCCCCCTCATGCTGTTCATGACTTCAGGAACCTGCCCCCACAACTCACTCTGTCCCCCCTGAAGGTGACCAACTTGTTCAGGTGCTCCTCAGATAGAAGCTGGACCATCCAGGGCTCGGACCATCCTCATTGCCTGTCTTGGAACCTTTTCTTCATCCTGGATGCCATGAGTGCCCCAGTGGCTGGTGCAGGGCTGTCCTGGCTGTCCTGACTCTCTCCCTGCCCATCCTCATTGCACCTGGGCAGCTCCCCTGTGAGCTCCTGGGACCATCAGACATTTTCCAGCACATTTCCTTTTCAGGGAGAGAAAAAAATGTCTGGCTGAGGGGCCTGGGGGAGGGGTGGGAAGGGACAAACTTAGTGGTTTATTTTTATTATTTCCTTTCATTGTTGGGGCGGGATGGTGTCAGCAGGCCTGGCTGGGGGTTGGCTTCCCAAAGACAGGAGGTGGACTCAGGAGCTCCATGAGCCCATCTGTCCATCCCAATCACTTTGCAAACAAACATTGTGGGTGGATGCAAGATCAGGCAGGAAGGGAGAAGGAACCTTCTCAGTGCCATGAGCACTGGAGGGGCAGAAGGAGAGGTGGGGCTGGGGTGGGACTAGGGAGCTGTCTGGCTTTGGTTTGCTCCCTGGGGTGTGAAGAGGGATAGGAGGTGACCCCAGGACTCTGGAGACGGGTGGTGGGCTGGGCGGTGCAAGCCCACTTTGCCATCAGGCTGAGCCTGGGGCTGCTGGTGCCCACAGAGCCCACGGGTGCTGAGCCCTCGTCCCAAACAAACACCCGCATCCCCGAGGAGCTCAGGATGGGGCCGGGATGTCCCAAGAAGGGGATGTCACTGGGGAGGCTCCCTCAGCCCCCGTTGTTCCCGGCAGGACCAGCCAGGAGGAGCAGGACCCGCGTTCCCGCCTCGCCCGGACCGACGCCGAGGGCTACTCCACCGTGGAGGCCCCGTTCAGCCTGCCCTCCCACCTCTACCCCGACGAGGTGCTGGAGGACCTCACCATCTCCCCGTACGCCAGTTTCACCTCGCTGGCCGAGCCCCGGCCCCCCGTGCTGAGCGGCTGGCTGGACAAGCTGTCCCCGCAGGGGTACGTGCCCATCCCGTGGGTTCCAGAAGGACAGGGAACTGCTGGAAAGAGCCCAGGGCAGAGCCACAGAGATGCTGGAGGGAGGGGAACATCTCCCTGCTGAGGAAAGGCTGAGGGAGCTGGGGCTGTTGGGCTTGGAGAAGAGGAGACTGAGGGGCCACCTCATCCATGGGCACAAATCTGTTCAGGGCAGTGTCAGGAGGGCAGAGCCAGGCTTTGTGCAGTGATGTCCAGTGACAGGACAAGGGGCAGTGGGTGCAAACTGGAGCACAGGAGGTTCCATGTGAATCTCAGGAAGAACTTCTTTGCTGTGAGAGTGACAGAGCCCTGGGCCAGGCTGCCCAGAGAGGCTGTGGAGTCTCCTTCTCTGGAGACATTCCAACCCCCCTGGATCCTGTGTGATGTGCTCTGGGTGCCCCTGCTCTGGCAGGGGGGTTGGGCTGGGGGAGCTTTCCAGGCCCCTTCCAACCCCTGGGATTCTGGGATTCTTGGGCAATGCTGGGGAGGTGGGCACGTTGCTCACCGTGCTACTGAGGCTGCCAGACCTCCCCCCACAGGAGGAGGAACCTCTGGGGTGCCCCGATCGTGCTGTGGGGGTCCCTGTGCAGCCATCCTTAGGGGAAGGGGAGGTTGTAAGCAGATGTGGGGTCCTCAGAGGAATTGCCCCCTTCCCAACAACCACCTTTTTCTGCCCCCCCAACAGGAACTATGTCTTCCAGAGGCGCTACGTCCGTTTTGATGGAAAGAACCTGATGTACTTCAGCAGTGAGAAGGTACGAAGGGGTCCCTGTGCTGGCAGGAACAAGGTGGGGGGTCCTGCTGGCTCACAAGCAAATGAGGGGTCTCTGGGTACCCAGCCCTACCTGCATCCTCTGCTCCGGCCTGGCTGTGCCAGTGGGAGCTAGGGGACATGGAGGAGGTGCTACATGGGTGCTGGCAGCGTGGGACATGTGCTTGGGATGTGTGAACCCCCTGGCAGGCACTGCTGCCCCAGGCACAGCCAGCCCTGCTGGCCCCCTGGCAGAATCAGGTGCTGGGCACATCCTAGGATCAGCCACTATTGGACAGAATCATAGGATGGTGGAATTGTTTGGGTTGGAAAAGAGCTTTCAGATCATCCAGTCCAACTGTGCCCCCAGCCCTGCCCAGGCCACCCCTGCCCCGTGTCCCTCAGCACCATCTCCAGGGCTTGGAAACCCCTCCAGGGATGGGGACTCCCCCCCTGCCCTGGGCAGGCTGGGCAGGACCTGACAACCCTTGCCAGGCAGGAATTGTTCCCCAGATCCAACCTCAGCCTCCCCTGGCACAACTTGAGCCCATTTCCTCTTGTCCCACCCCTTGTTCCTGGGGAGCAGAGCCTGACCCCCCTGGCTCCAACCTCCTCTCAGCAGCTGCAGAGCCAGCAGGTCTCCCCTCAGCTCCTGCTCTCCAGGCTGGGCACCCCCAGCTCCCTCAGCTGCTCCTTGCTGGAAGGGGATGTCCCCTTATCCCTGCTGGCCATGGCCTCATTACTGGGGTGGGGTTTTATGGAGGTGCCCCACAGGAGGAGCAAAGGGTAGTAACCCTGCCTGGGGCTCATTCCAGGAGCCCTACCCCAAGGGGGTGATCCCACTGTCTGTGATCGAGATGGTTCGTTCAACCAAGGAGAACAAGTTCCAGGTCTTCACCAGCCATCGGATCTTTGTCTTCCGTGCCGAGAACGAGGGTAAGTTCAGGGCCCACCAGGGAATCCAGGTTCCTCAGGGAACCATCCCTGCCTCCCTCTTCTGGCCAGAACATCCCTGCCTTCACCCCATCCCCAAAGCCATGAGGAGCAAGGGGACCTCTCCCCTGCTGTGCCTTCAGGATGCTCTGCTCCATGCCAGGGCTGTGGAAAAGGTCTCAGACCCTCTCCCTCCTGCCTGGTCCACAGCCCAGAGGAACGAGTGGTGCTCCACACTGCAGAAGAAGGTGACAGAACAGCACCTGGCTGGGACCCAGCCCCGCCCCACCAACACTGCTCACTGCCAGAAGTCAGGAACCCTGGAGCTGAAGGGCCAGAAGTCCAAGGTGTTTGCAGCCCTGAGCCTGCCCGAGATGTGGCTGTACAAGAGCGAGCAGGTTTGTGCCCAGCAGGGACACCCCACTGGCATGGGATGATGGAGGGAGCTTAGCCAGGGTGGGTGCCAAAGGGAGGGTAGGTTGGAAACTGGTGGGCAGGAGGAAGGGAATGGTGGAGCAGGAATCTGGAGATACTGCCCAGGACATCTATGGTGGGAATGGGGGTTTGGAGATGCAGAGACCACCCAGAGCAGGTTCCCTTTCCGATCTTCTTGCTGTCATCAAATTGTCTGCATCTCAGCCTAGCACTTAGATCTTAGTGGCACCAATCCATCCCACCACAGGTGGATCAATGACCACAAAATCACCATCAAACAGACCTGCTGCAAGACAGGCTTGACTCCTGGAAGGCAGCAGATCTCTGCTGACCCATCACACCCGCACGGCAACCCCCACGTCCTGCCCGCTGGATTGTCATTGTAGTGAATGGTTTGGGTTAGAGGGAGCTTAAAGATCATCCAGTCTCAAAGCCCCTGCACGGGCAGGGACACCTCCCATCAGCCCAGGCTGCTCCAAGCCCCATCCAACCTGCCCTTCAACACTGCCAGGGATGGGGCAGCCACAGCTTCCCTGGGCAACCTGGGCCAGGCTCTCACCACCCTCACAGCAAATAATTTCTTCCTAAGATCTCCTCTCAGTCTCCCCTCTGTTAGCCTGAAGCCATCACCCCTCATCCCTGCCCTTATCCCAAGTCCCTCCCCAGCTTTCCTGGAGCCCCTTCAGGCACTGGAAGCTGCTCTAAGGTCTCCTTGGAGCCTTCTCTTCTCCAGGCTGAACACCCCAACTCTCCCAGCCTGGTTCCAGAGCAGAGCTGCTCCAGACCTCTCATTTATTCCCTGGTCACCTCATCTCCAGTTTGCCTGGTGTGTGCTGAGCAGCACCAAACCTCCATGGGTTTGCTCCAGTTGATACTTGCTTTATGAACATGCCTGACTCTGAGAGGACTCAAAGCTCCTAATTTGAGGATCTGGACCAGGTTCTGGGAGCTGTGGGCACAACTTGCCTTTCATTTGAAGGCATCGCACACCCCTTGGATGCTTTTTGTCAGCCCACATGGAATGGCTGAGACACCCGGGTCTGATTGATCCAAGTGGGGGCACCAGCTGCAGCATCATGGGCTTCCCTGGGGTGGGATGTCCACTGTGGGGCAGAGAACCCATGCCAGCATCCTTCTGCACTGCAGTTCTTCAAAATGGGCATCGGCATCTGCGTGATCGAGATGCGCGGCTCCACCATCCGCGAAGCCAAGAGCCGCGGCTTCGAGCTCATCACCCCCTTCAAAATATTCAGGTACCCCCGGTGGGGGGTGGGATGAGGTGGGGGAAGCATCTGAGAGCTGGAGCCGGGTGCTGGCTCCTCCAGGTCCCCGAGCTTTACCTGTGCTGCTGCTTTTAGCTTCGTGGCGGAGTCGGAGCGGGAGAAGCGGGAGTGGATGCAGGCGCTGCAGGAGGCCATAGCTGAGATGCTCTATGACTACGAGGTGGCTGAGAAGATCTGGTCCAACAAAGCCAACAAATACTGTGCAGATTGTTGGGCTCCCAGTCCTGACTGGGCATCCATCAACTTGTGCGTGGTCATCTGCAAGCAGTGTGCAGGCAAGTACATGTCCCTGGGGGCACATGGGGATCCTGGGTGGGAGTTCTAAGAGAACTCTCCACGGGACAACTCTCCACCAGGACATTTCTACACCAGGACAACTCTCCACCAGGACAGTTCTCCATGGATTGGCAGTTGTTCTGACGTCCTGATGCAGAGATGTCTTGGCACAGAGATGTCCTGATGGAGAGTTGTTGGTGGAGAATTGTCCCTTCCCACTTGGAGGGGTGCTGGCTGGGCTATGGGTGTGACTTGGGTGCCGGTTCCCCTGGCAGATCAAGGGGTGCTCACTCTGCTGCTCCCCACAGGGCAGCACCGCAGCCTGGGCTCCAATATTTCCAAGGTCCAAAGCCTGAAGCTTGACACCAGCATCTGGTCCAACGAAATGGTCCAGGTAGAGCCACTTGGGGCAGGACACCAGGGATGTGGGGTGCACCAGGCATCCCGCTCCTCCTGACTGGTCCTGGGGCTCACCTTGACTTTGGGGACTCTCTTCCAGCTCTTCATCGTGCTGGGAAATAACCGGGCCAACCGGTTCTGGGCCGCCCGGCTCCCCCCGGCCGAGGCGCTGGGGCCGGACGCGGGCGCCGAGCGGCGCCAGGAGTTCATCTCCCGCAAGTACCGTGAGGGCAGGTACCGCCTGCCCCATCCCCACCACCCCACGCAGGAGGACGTGCTCCAGGTACGGGACCACCTCAGGGGGTGGGGGAGGTGGGAGCCACCCCAGAGCTGTGGGTGGGAGATGCCGACACCTCCTGCTTGGCTGCAGGTGCCTCGTGGGCAGGTGGTGCCAGGGGCTGGGGTGGGAGGCGGGGTCCTGCTTCACCTGCCTTTGAATGGTCAGTGGGCTGGGGGGGGGTCTTCCAGAGGCAGGACGTGGTGTCTGAAGGCTCCTGTCTCGCCCCAGGCGCTGTGTGCTGCTGTGGCAGGACCAGCCCTCCTCAAGACCATCCTGCAGTTCTTCTCGTCCTCGGAGGCAGCTGAGTCTGCCACCTGTGAGGTGGCCCCGGGGTCTGAGCTTTGGTGGGGCCCAGAGAGCAAAAGGCCCAGAAACCATTCAGGTAACAGGGACCCTCAAACCCCATCTGGATACGATGGGGGGGCTTCCTCCTTGCCTCTGCCCCCCACAGCATGCCCCAGGGCTGGGGACAGACACCCCATCGGGCACTGGGGCTCTCTGGGGGGACCCACCTGCCCCACTGCACCTGTTTTTTGGGGTAGGGCAAGGCAGTGGATTCCTCTGAAGCCCCTTTTCAGGGAACCCCATGGCTGGTGCACCTTACCTGCAGGAGTGGGGTCTCCCAGCTTGCCAGTCCCCACGTTTTGGTGCTTTTCCCTGCAGGGCCTCCCCCACCTCGGGAACCAGGTCCAGAAGGTGTCTACAACGAGATCACGCAGCCAGTGACCCACAGCGGGTACCTGTACCGGGCCACAGCCCCCTACAAGCTCCCAGGTGCCAAGAAGAGCAAAGAGGGTGAGCGTGGAGGGGCATGGGGGGCAGCCAGTGGGGTGCCCACCCCATGTTGCTGACCCCCTTGGCCCCACAGACTTCCAGCGCACCTGGTGCTCCCTGGAGAGGGCCCTGCTCTTCTTCGAGACAGAGAAATGCCCCGAGCCCTTGGGCCACATCGAGAGTGGGGACCTCATCTCCCTGGGTGTGAGCAGAGCCCAGGTGCTCACCAGCCCTGGCCCCACCGAAAGGTACCCCCTGCCTGGCCCCCCTTCTGGCCCAGGGAGCCCACGGGCAGGGGTGGGCATCGCTTGGTGCAATGGTCTGGTCGGGCTCTGGGTGCAGGTTGGGGGTGGGAGGGCTGCCCTGATGAGCTGGTTGATCTCCTGTAGGTTTCGTTTCACCCTCGAGCTCTTCCTCACTGGGGAAAAAGTGCAGCAGCTGGGAACTGACGGGGCAGAGACACTGCAGGGCTGGGCCAGCGCCATCGGCAAGGTGAGCCAGCACCCCCCGCTGCTGCTGGGACCCGGGGGGCTCCATCCCCACTTCCCTCGTGGGATTTACACTGCCCTGATGAGACCCCCCCTGCAGGGCTGGGTCCAGTGCAGAGGTTTCCAACACAGGAAGGACATGGAGCTGTTGGAGAGAGGCCAGAGGGGGTCACAGAGATGATCCAAGGGCTGGAGCAGCTCTGCTCTGGAGCCAGGCTGGGAGAGTTGGGGTGTTCAGCCTGGAGAAGAGAAGGCTCCAGGGAGACCTTAAAGCACCTTCCAGTGCCTGAAGGGGCTCCAGGAAGGCTGGGGAGGGGCTTGGGACAAGGGCAGGGAGGGATGGGATGAGGGAGAACAGTTTCAAACTGGAAGAGAGGAGATGGAGATGAGATCTTAGGAAGAAATTCTTTGGTGTGAGGGTGGTGAGAGCCTGGCCCAGGTTGCCCAGGGAAACTGTGGCTGCCCCATCCCTGGCAGTGTTGAAGGGCAAGTTGGATGGGGCTTGGAGCAGCCTGGGCTGGTGGCCCCTGCCCATGCAGAGGGTTGGAACTAGATGATATTTAAGGTCTCTTCCCACCCAAACCAGTCTGGAATTCCTCCCAGCTCCCCACACTCTTCACCCTCTGGCACACTCCTTCCCTCTGCAGGGGCTCTCACCCTGCCCTGTGACCTGACCCCATCCCCACGGATGTCCATGCTCGGGGGGCCCAGCCCTGTCCTTACCCGGCTTGTCTCTTGCTCCATCCCACAGTGGTTCACCCCCGTGAGCTGTCACTGCCTGCTGGGCTACGAGTTCCAGCGCGTGGGCCAGCTGCGCTACAAGTGCATGCTGAACCCCGAGCGGTGGCAGCAGGCCTTCTTCATCCTGCAGAAAGCCCACCTCTTCATCTGCCCTGCTGAGGATGGTGGGGCTGAGGACAGCATCAACCTCCGGCGGCTGCAGGAGCTCAGTGAGTGCCAGGGTGGGATAGTCACTGTCTGTTGGCTGGCTGTGCATGGCCCTGACCCCTCTGCTTGTCACCCCAGGTCTGGTTCCCCCCACGGAGACGCCAGAGAAGAAGGAGCTGCTGGTGCTGGTGGAGATGGGGAGGTGGGTCCTGGTCATGGGGACGATGCAGGATGAGCCAAGGGACTTCAGCAGGCTGCCTGGGGCAAAGGCATTGATGGGTGGTGGGTCAATGCTGATCCCAGTCCCATGGTGGGGACAGCAGGGCTGTGGCCAAGGGGTTTGCAAAGGTTACCCTGGCCTGGGGTCCTTCACCAGGGTAGGGTGTCCCTCAGCCTGGCTGTGCCTTGCTCCTTATCCCAGAGCCATGCTGTCCTGATGGGCAGGAGGGGACAAGCTGGGCAGGAGGGGACAAGCCAGGCAGGAGGGGACAAGCCGGGCAGGAGGGGACAAGCGGGGCAGGAGGGGACAACCTGGGCAGGAGGGGACAACCTGGGCAGGCGGGGGCAAGCCGGGCAGGAGGGGACAAGCTGGGCAGGAGGGGACAACCTGGGCAGGAGGGGACAAACCGGGCAGGAGGGGACAAGCCGGGCAGGAGGGGACAACCTGGGCAGGAGAGGACAAACTGGGCAGGAGGGGACAAGCCAGGCAGGAGGGGACAAACTGGGCAGGAGGGGACAAGCCGGGCGGGAGGGGACAAGCTGGGCAGGAGGGGAAAAGCCAGACAGGAGGGGCAATCTTCATCCCCTCTTCTCTTCCCTCGTTGCTGTCAGGACGTTCTACCTGCAGGGTCTGTCGCGGGCGGACGCAGCAGCCTGGTACAGTGACATCCAGGCGTCTGCCGGGGGGCGAGGGAACGCGCTGCGGGACCAGCAGCTGAGCCGTGGGGACATCCCCATCATCGTGGACAGCTGCATTGCCTTCATCACCCAGTATGGTGAGCCCCACGCAGAGGTGGCACAACCCGAACATCCTCCGGGGTGGATGGGCTCCATCCCTCCTCCATCCAGCCGTGGTGGCTCCTCCTGGGTAGCCCAGAAGTCCGGGCAGGAGGCATCACACCAAGCCCTGGGTGGGACTGAGCCCCTGTGACCTCGTGTCCCTGCCCCAGGGCTCCGGCACGAGGGGATTTACCGTAAGAACGGAGCCAAGTCACGGATCAAGGTGCTGATGGAGGAATTCCGGCGGGACGCCCGCAACGTCAAGCTGCGCATCAATGACAACTTCATCGAGGATGTCACTGATGTGCTGAAGAGGTTCTTCCGAGAGCTGGAAGACCCTGTCTTCACCCTGGAGCTGCACCCGCAGTGGAAGGAGGCTGCAGGTACCTCCTTCACCCTGCTCCCATACCGGAATGCCTGCCAGGAGGTGACGTCCCTGGCGGTGGGTTGGTTCCTGCTGCCAGGTCAGCTCTGGATCTGCTGGGTTCAGCCACGCTCCATGACTGGTTTCCACCCCTCCAGAAATCTCATCGAAGCCCCAGCGCCTGGAGAGGTACAAGGAGCTGATCCATCGCCTGCCCCGCCTCAACCGCAAGACCCTGGCCGCGCTCATTGGGCACCTCTACCGGTCAGTGGGGCACCTTCCTGCAGGGTCCCCAGCTGCAAGCCGGGTCCCCAAGGCCAGCCAGCAGCCTGGGGTCTCCCCACTGCCCTGGGAACTCTGGGTCCCCTCCCTGTGAGCCAGGAGAACCCAGTGTCCCTGGTGTGCTGGAGCACACTGCTCTGGAGCACCTCAAGTGCTCCCCAAGTCATCCTGCAGTAGGACAAACTGGGAGGATGTTAGGGAGTTAGGGAGGTGGCAACCTGCCATAGGACATAAACCTCCTGAGTGGCCAAAAAGAGGAAAAGACCAAATTCCAATCCCAGCTCAGAGCATGAGGGCTGGTGGGTGGTTTGATGGCAGCTGGAAGTCCTGGAAACAGGAACTGCCTGGCTTGAAGTTCCTGCTCCTTGGGAGCTGGGGAGGAAGGATAAAAACAGGCTGGTTTTCAGGCCAGTTTATGCAAGGCAGAAGATGGTGGCTGGGGCTGAGACCCCACCCAGAGCAGGGCCAGCCCCTCACCCATCTGCTCCTTGCCCCAGCGTGCAGAAATGTGCCGACCTCAACCAGATGAGCACCAAGAACCTGTCGCTGCTCTTCGCACCCAGCCTCTTCCAGACCGACGGCAAAGGGGAGCACGAGGTCAAGGTGATGGAGGACCTCATTGACAACTACGTCAGCATCTTCAATGTAAGCTCCTTGCAGGTCCTTGCCAGCCCCTCCATGATGATTTGGGCCATTAGTGTGACCAGCAGGAGCAGGGCAGGGATCATTCCCCTGTGTTCAGCACTGGTGAGGCTGCACCTCAAATCCTGGGGTCAGTTCTGGGCCCCTCAGGACAAGAAGGACATGGAGGGGCTGGAGCGTGTCCAGGGAAGGGCAGGGGAGCTGGGGAAGGGGCTGGAGCACAAGTGTGAGCAGGAGCAGCTGAGGGAGCTGGGGGTGTCCAGCCTGGAGAGCAGGAGCTGAGGGGAGACCTGCTGGCTCTGCAGCTGCTGAGAGGAGGTTGGAGCCAGGGGGGATCAGGAACAAGTGATGGGACCAAAGGAAACAGCCTCTTGTCAGGGGAGGTTTCATTAGATATTGGGAACAATTCCTTCCTGGCAAGGGCTGTCAGGTCCTGCCCAGGCTGCCCAGGGCAGGGGGGGAGTCCCCATCCCTGGAGGGGTTTCCAAGCCCTGGAGATGGTGCTGAGGGACACGGGGCAGTGGTGGCCTTGGCAGGGCTGGGGGAACAGTTGGACTGGATGATCTGAAAGGTCTTTAATATCAAAATAATTCTGTGATTCTATTCTATGATCTCCTCTTGTATCACCTCATACTTCCCATCTCTGCCTCCCCCTGCATCCTTCTGTCCTGGCCAGATGTCCTCAAGTCATATCCTGCTTCATGTTGACCTGATGTGTCTCCCCTCTCACCCCATGTGTCCTTCCTCTGGCAGATTGATGAGGACCAGGTATCCCAGATGGATCTGGAGAACAGTCTGATCACCACCTGGAAGGACACCCAGGTACTAGGGATCTGCATGCCAGGACCCCTGGGCTGGTGGGATTGCCTGGAGGATGGGGGTACTCCCAGCTGCCCACCCTGGGTCCCCACTGTCCCACACCAGATATTTGGGGAAGGACCTTCTTCTACTGGTCTCCTCTTTGCTCATCACCTTGAGGCTGCTGCCCAGGGGAGAAGCAGCCCCAGCTCCTTGGGACACCATCCCCAGCCCCTGGGGGTGAGGGGATGTGCACAGCACCAATGCCAACGTGGCACCAATGCCATCTGCTCTTCCTCCAGCTCTCGCAGGCAGGGGACCTCATCATCGAGGTCTACCTGGAGCAGAAGCTGCCTGACTGCTGTGTCACCCTGAAGGTGAGTCCCAAGGGAGTGCCCTGCTGGGAGAAGCCAGGAGGGCTGCAGGCTCCTGGGACAGCCTGTCCCTGGGACCCATCCTGCCACCACCCACAGCTCCCCGTGTGTCCGGCCCCAGGTGTCCCCCACAATGACAGCAGAGGAGCTCACCAACCAGGTGCTGGAGATGCGGAACGTGGCAGCCAGCCTGGACATCTGGCTGACCTTCGAGGCCCTGGAGAACGGGGAGCTGGGTGAGTGTGGTGGGGACAGCTCGGGGGGATGCTCTCAGCACAACCAGCTTGGTGAGGAGGGGGTAGCTGGGGGACAGGGGCCACCTTGGTGCTGGTGGGGACAGGGACTGGCACAGCAGAGGAGACGCAATGATGAGAGTGTCCCTGCCTCCCCAGAGCGGCCCCTGCACCCCAAGGAGAAGGTGCTGGAGCAGGCTCTGCAGTGGTGCAAGCTCCCAGAGCCCAGCTCTGCCTACCTGCTGGTGAGGAAGGTCCCCCTTGGTGAGGGCAGCTGTCTCTTCACCGGTAAGACCATCACACTGTCACCCTCGCATGTCCCCACCACTGCCCCACCTTCCCTTTGTCCTGGCCACCACCCTGCAGCCAGCAGGGGCACATCCCTGAGACCCACAGCCACTCTCACATGTCCCCAACCCTCCTGACTCCCATCTCCTCCCACTGGGCAGGTGCCAAGAGGGAGACCCCCAAGTGTGGGCTGCTGAAGTGCCGTGAGGAGCCCCCCAAGCTGCTGGGGAACAAGTTTCAGGAGCGTTACTTTGTCATCAGGGACCGGAGGCTGCTGCTGCTCAAGGAGAAGAGGGTACCCAGGGATGGATGAGCAGGGAGGGGGAGCCTGGGGACAGTTGGTGGCAGGGTGGTGGCTGTCCTGCTGGCAGGGAGGTTGGCACCAAGCTAGGCTGACCTGAGGGGTCTCCTTCCCCAGAGCGTCAAGCCAGAGCGTGAGTGGCCCCTGGACGCTGCCAAGGTTTACATGGGCATTAGGAAGAAGCTGAAGCCACCAGCCCAGTAAGTGACACCTGCCCTGGCTGTCACCTGGGACATACATCCCTCACAGCACCTGACCCCAGCATGTCAAGCCCCACCGCGACCCCAAATGGTGACAAGCCCAGTGTCCCCTGGGCTGTGCCTGAGCTCAGCTGTGCAGCCCCATAGCCTGACTCCTCCTTTCCCCAGGTGGGGTTTCACCTTGACCCTGGACAAGCAGCAGCTGTGAGTACCTGTCCTTGCCATCCTGAGGCTGGGGGGGACGTTGAGACCTGTCCCCGGTTTTAGTGGGACTGGGACAGACAGGGGCAGTGCTGGGGTTCAGGGCAGAGCTGGCACCTGGCTGGGGCACTTAAGGGGCAGAGTGGTGGGGCCACAAGGCTCCCTGGCTGCTGGGACAATCCACCTCCCTGCCTGGGGGTGTGTGTCCCTGCCTCCCCATCCACAGCAGCACCTCTGAGAAATGCATCTTCCCAGCACCAGGCTCCAGAGAGACCTGCCCAGGTGTTGGTGTCACCTGCCTGACTGTGCTGCCTGACAGCCTTCACCCCACCCTGCTCTGTGTCCCTACACACCCAACACCAGGTCCTCCTGCACCCCCTGCCCTGTCCTGAGCTGGGATCCCTGCCCTGGCCCCCCTGGCACCTCTGGGTGTCCAGGCACCCCCAGCCACCCTGCTGATCCTGTCCCCTGACACTGCCCACACTGGGACACCTTTCCTGCCCCCAGCACAGGGGGGATATGTTCTTCCACGGGCAGCAAGGTGCCTCGTGGGCACCTTGAGATTTGGGCACACAGAGAGTTGTGGAGGTGCAGCCCCACAGGGTGTTGTTGTGCCTGGCAGCCCAGGGGCTCACGGACAAGGTAACGAGGGGACACGGGCTCCCCTGTCCCTGCTCCCTGGCAGCTTCTCAGCTGACTCCCCTCCAGGTACCTGGTGTGCTCAGGGCAGGCTGAGCTGTGGGACTGGACCACCAGCATCCTCAAGGCTCAGGTGGGTGCCGGCTGGCTGTGCCACCCCACGGGGCTGGGATGGGAGGGGGCTGGCAGGGCAGCCCAGTCTGACCCCCCTGTCCCCACGTGCAGCACGATGACCTGCGCCCCGTCATCCTGCGCCGCCGCTCCTCCTCCGACCTGGCCAAGCAGAAGTTTGGCACCATGCCCCTGGTGCCCCTGCACGGGGACAGCACCGATGCCACCATGCTCTCCGCCAACCAGACCCTGGTAAAGCCCCTGCAGACACCCCACGGGTGCTCCTGCACCCACCCAGCTCCACACCCCCCCCCCCCCGGGGCCCCAGGGGACGCTTTGGGTGCGTGTCCCTGTGCTGGAGGTGTGTGCTGCCTGCTGCGTGCCCTGCTGCTGTCCGTGGCAGCTCTCCGTGTGGCCACACTGGGTGCTGTGTCCTGCTGCCTGTCCCCTGCCTGTCCCCTGCCTGCCAGGGCACCCCTGGCCCTGCTCCTCTGCGCTGTCCCACGCTTACCTCTGCCCCTCTCCTCTGTTTCCAGCGCCGCCTGCACACGCGAAGGACTTTGTCCATGTTCTTTGTAAGTACCCGTGCTCACTGCTGGCTTCGCACCGTGGCTCCTGGTGACATCCCACCCCATCCTCCAAGACATGCCCAGGCCACCCTGCCCTCACCCCGGGGCCAAGGAGGGGGTGACCATGGTTCTGTGTGGCCCATAGTGGTCTCTCTGGTGTACGCCAGCAAGACCAGGACAGCCCAGCCCAGCTCCCATCTCCACTCCAGTCACGCCCAGAGGGGCTGAACATGAAATAGGTTTGGGTCCTCCTGGACGTCAGGCTGTTCCCTGGTTGGACCTCACCTGGCTTGGGTGGGTGCTCTGCTTTGAGCACCCATCTGCCCTCCCCACCCTAGCCCTGCCGGGGAATGCTGGGCTGGTGTCACAGCCTGGTGCCACCAGGTGCTTGCAGCAGGAACTGAACCCTCCCTCAGCAACGGGGGAAGCAAAGAGACCTGGTGGAGGGTGGGTCCCCCCGCGGGCTTCAGCCCCACAAGGAGGGGTCAAGATTCCCTGGGAGGGCAAAGTGAGGGGGACAGAGGGGTCTGGCTGGACAGTGCAGGCAGTGCCCCTCACCCTGACCCTCCACCCTTCCCCAGCCCATGAAGATGCACCAGGACTCCCTGGAGGAGCAGCAGGAGAAGGAGGCAGATGCAGATCCTGTCTATGAGGAGGTGGGCAACTTCCCCGAGCTGGCGGCGCTGGAGCTGGGGCAGGGGCTGCTGTCAGACCTGTCAGCTGTGCCCCCCGTGGACAGATCCAAGAAGCCAGCCCTGTCCCCTGAGCACCCCCCAGCAACTGCTCTGCGCTCCTCCCTGCCTGCCAGCCCAGCCCAGAGGGTGGCAGGTCTCTCTGTCACCAAAGCTGTGTCCCTCGAAAGGGGCTTGAACTTGGAGAGCAACAGAACTGCAGCCCAGGGGCTCAAACCCACCAAAACAGCCTCTTTGGAGAGGAATGTGGAGCCTTCCCTGGTGCTGGCCAGGGATTGGGACCAGGCAGCCACGCCAGGGAGCAGCCCCAGCACAGAGACCCCCGTGGAGACCTCCAAGAAGAGGAACGTGCAGCCCCCCTCACCCATCAATGACAAACTCATCCAGGAGCTCAGCAGCATCATCCTGAGGAAGAATGAGGGGCCCAGCCAGCCAGGACCAGGCCAGCCCGTGACGTGACCCCTCATGCCCCAGGGACAGCCACCCACCCGGGGGGTCAAGTCATGCCCGGTGGCAGCGGCGATGGGACCCAACATTCCCACCCCATGGAGCCCATCTCCTCCTCCTGGCTCCGTGCTGGGAGCGGGGACCGGTGGGGATCAGAGAACTGAGTGAGGAGCAGGATGCTGAGGGGGTGTCCCCTCTCCTGGGAGGGCTGGGGATGCTGCCACACACGGGTGGCACATCTGCCATCATTCCCCGTGCCAAGGGAAGCACTATAAGGGACAAGAAGAGCCATCCCCCCCGTGTGGGCAGCGTGGGGGGGGTGTCAGGCAGGGAGGACAGGGGGGTCCCAGCCAGCACCATCTCCCCTCCCCAGCTCTGGGCCTGTGGGGCAGGTCAGGATGCCCAAGCTACCCCTCACTTCCCTTCTTGCATCTCCCATGGCATGGTTTCATTATTGTCATTTTTTTGGGGGCGGGGGGGGGGGGGTCAGGGGGGGCAGGGCTGGCCACGCGTGCCTGGTGCGTGGTCCTGGTCAGGGAGGGGGCAGCTCCTGCTCTGCCCCGGTGTTTATCCCTCCACCAGCAGGGAGAAATAAACCTTTATTTGTGCTCTGCAGGGTTTGGTCACTGCAGGATGAGCTGTGTGGGATGCCAAGGTCTGGGGGGGTTAGGGGGACCCAGGGGACAAGGAAAAGGTCATGCCTGGAAATCCCATGGAGGAGCTGCAAAACCAAGGGGAGGTCCCAACAAACCTCAGGTCCCAGAGGAATTTTCTATCCCACTCTGCTGCCAGCCTGGGATGGCACCAGCTGGGTAGTGCCCTGGGCAGTGCTCTGCAGGATCCCTTCTCCAGGGCAGGGGGACACAGCCAGGTGCCCTGCCTACAGGTGGCTGTCCTCACTGGACCTCAAGGGCAAGGCTGCCTTCTCTGAGATCCTCCCTGATGAGGTCTTAACCCCCCCTGGGCAGCACCCGCCTGCATCCCGGACCCAGCCCCGGAAATCCCGGGAGGCGTAGAAGTAGACGAAGGGATCGAAGCAGTTGTTGAAGGCACCGAGTGGCAGGGCCAGGAGGTACCACATGTAGGTGATGTTGTTGCACCCTGTGGCCCCCATCAGGTAGTGGAGGAAAAGCAGCACGTTGCTGGGGGTGAAGCAGAGGATGAAGACCAGGAGGACCAGGACCAGGACGCGCACCACCCGCCCGTAGTGTTTCCCCTTGGCCAGCAGCCTCCCCAGGATGCAGCTGTACGAGGTGGTCACGAGCACGAAGGGCAAACCAAAGCCCAGCCCCACCAGAAGGAGGAAATAGTACGTGAGGGACACGTGCACTTTCTTCTCTAGAACATCATGGCACGTCGTTATGTTCAGGCTCGAGATGGACTTGGTCTGGGGGTGAAACAGCAGAGGGCTCATGCCCAGCCCCACCACCAGCCAGATGCAGACACAGATGCCCACCTTGCCCCAGGTGCAACTGGAGCCTTTCCACAGGAACGGGTGCACCAGGGAGACGTAGCGCTCCAGGCCGATGCAGGTGAGGAAGAGGATGGAGCTGTACATGTTCCCGTAGAAGAAGGCCACCGTGGCGCGGCACAGGTAGTCCCCAAAGGGCCAGTGGTTGCCCAGCAGGTGGTAGGCGATCTTGAAGGGCAGCAGGAGGACAAAAAGGAGGTCGGCACAGGCCAGGTTGAGCAGGAAGAGGGTGCTGGAGCATCTCCTGAAGTTGATGAGCAGAACCCAGCAGGCCAGGGCGTTGGCAGGCAGACCCACCAGCAGGACCAGGGAGTAGAGGGCGGGGAGGAGGCGGGTGGTGAGGGTGCTGTTGAGAAGAGCTTCCACCGAGGCCCCGGGGCACGTGGCTTTCTCTTGGGGAGTGAGGACGATCAAGGCGCGCCCTTTGCCACCCACTGCAGGGGACACAAGGCTGGGCTGAGGGTCCCCCCCTTCCCACTGCCCCTGCCCCCTGGGGACCACCCAGGAGTTGTTGCCCCCTCCCTGAGGAGCCACCAGACAGCTCGGGACACAGGAACCCTTAACATCCTGATGCCCTCGCCCTTCCCAGGGTCGGGATAGGGCCACCCATGCCAGGATGGGAGATGTTCTCCCCCCAAGCCTCCAACCTCCTCCTCCCCCCAAGGC